TATTACTGCAGGCGTGCCGCAGGGGGGCGTGTTGTCACATTTACTCTTTTCCATTTATTAGTTTAATCACTCATAAAATATCTTCTCTCTACCATATCATGTATGCGGATAATGTCCAGGTTAACACCAGTCAACTCTTAAGAATTTGCCGAATGCAATCGCTAAATTGAATAAGGACTTAAATATTATTCATGAATGGATTAAATTATATGGCCTAAATGTCAATCCTAAAAAGTCACAGGCTATCATTATTGGTAGCCAGAGCTGTATCTCAAGAATTGACTGGTTCTCCGTACCACTTATCGTATTCGATGGAGTTGTAATCATTTACTTTGACAATATCAAAAATCTTGGTATTTATCTAGATAATTCCTTAAATTGGATACGCCAACTGAATGAGGTAAGTTAGAAAACCTTTGTCGCTCTTTGTTCACTGCATCGTCTTCGATCATTTCTTCCCATTCTTACCTATTTCTAAGAATGTGAAGTTCTTTTATAGCGCGTAGATTCGTTAACCACGCGAGCCAGCGAGGTTGGAGTTCTTCTGGAATAGGTTCATCCCAGCCAGTTTCTTATCGCCTTGTTTCCTGCATCATGTCTCTTTGCAGGTGTTGTGGGTGGTGAGACCGGACCAAGCGGGTCAAATAGTGACATAATCATGCTCAAGGTTTCTCTCTATCTGAAATATCTTCTTACTTCCAGTGTTGTCCTCTTTCCATTTAAGTGTGGAAACCGATGCAGTTTTCTATTACTTCCCATAGTAATCCTGGAGTGTTCCCGATGTCCTTTCCTCCTATGGGTACTGTAGTGGTCTCCGTATCCGTGTTGAAGTTACGTAGCACAGATTGTTGGTTCGACAGCCACCCACGTAGAATAAAGCCGACTTGACGACGGATGTAGTCCACATTTTTCGAGACTTCGGAACGTCAAATATTACCATTTCAATTCAGTAACTCTTTTGTCATTAAAATTGTCCAACACCCAAAAAATCCAAGATGGTTCAAGAACAAGCTTACATATTAAATTATATTTTTAAATTATATTATATTATTAAATTCACATTCATAGTTCTATTAAAAGGATAAAAGGGATATTCAATAATACGCAATTTGGAAATGGTTTATTTCTGAAATAGGTCCCGTGATAAATTAGGATGTCCGTCCGGGATGCCCTGCATTTGCCCTAGTTTCCGATTGTTCTATTCAGCGTGGGCAATACTTTCAAACAACACTGTTTAAAAATATCTATTAATTTAGTTGAGAATATTCTACCATTGTGGATAAAACTTCAACCTTTGAAACGCTAATGTATACTGTATAGGTGGCAACCCCTATCCCTATCCTTTTACCTATTACTGTTTATTGTGATCCGTTTTGAAAGACATAGAACCAGTAAAGTACAGACTGTGAAGGATTTAAGCTAAAGTGACAACGCATGTGTACTAAACATCTTTGGAGCTAGCTCTAGATCCACGGACGTGGTGTCAATCTATGAAGTGGCTACGTAAGTTCAGGTGGACTGTTAGTATGTCTATTACCCGTTAAAGAATGTAAAAAAAACACGAGCGAAAAGTACTCCACGAACATAACATTAGGCTGCGATTTGAAACAAGAACCCATAAGAATGTATATGATGATCTCTATCCAGTAGAAAATGTTTAACAATTAAAACATTTAATTTCATTGTAAAACCTCGTTTCTTAGCTCAATTTTTTCTAACAGCATTAGTACGAGTGGAACATACTTGGTCGCTTATAGATGCAGCAGATGAACTTGATCTGTTAATCAACGCCTCTCAATTCTCGGTCACGTTTTCTATATTTGGACAGTTTTGTGGTACAGGTATAAGTTCTGCGGTGTTGCGGTATGAATATATATATACGGGTGGGTGACAAAAGAGCACACAGTCCACTTGATGGTAAGTAGACTGTGGTGCATGGCAGCAATCTACATCTATCATCGACTAAGAATCAAAATGCACGGCTAAGGACTAAGATAAAATGCCTCGTTACCAGTAAAAAAGATCACCGTTTCTCTATATTCGCCATTCGTTACAAAGCAGCATTATGCAGCTATTTTACCCTGGTATTCTGCGCGAGCCTGAGCATGGTCACTTTCCAATCAGACCGAACCACACGTGATGCAGCTGTAGAATGAACTACCACGTACATGGAGGAGGGAAGTTAAATGTTAAATATGAGTTGTCAATAATGGATTAAGGATTTGAGATTTAAATTACCGTATGTATTTTATTGCAAAGTCGTGTTTAAAGTGTAAAATTATCACTAACTTTAGGTTAGGTAAAGTTTCATTAATATTATCATTATCGTCCACTGTTGAACAAAGACTTCTACGACCATCGCAATTAATTTATGAGCGAAGTCTTTACACCTACGAGCACTTTTAAGTGCTCGTAGCTTTACACTTAGCACAGTCATCAATGACTCTGCATGGCTCATCAGGTTTTTATAAAATTGAATGTACTGTTACTTTATGTTAGTACCTACTACTTACTTACTGCCTACCTATTTATCTATAATATTTTATATTGCAGTGTTGTGACAAAATTACTAAACATAACTCCGGAATTATTTTGGGACTAATTTTAGCTAAGCGTCACCATCAGTTGGAAATTCCATATTCAACTATTGTAAATTTTTAATAAAATCAATGATGAGACCAGATTCAACAGATGCTTTCATTATAATATACAAGAATTTTTACACTTTTTAAAGTAACTTCGCTTCTTGTAAAGGTTATATTATGTACTTTTTGATTATGACTAATAAGCCCAAAGTCAACACTGCTTGAAATAATTAATACTCTTATGACCGTCAAAATATACCTCTGGTTCAAATACCACGACCTAATAAGTTTTGTTAATTCCCTTTTACATTTATAATTTCATTCCATTTTTAAATTATACGATTTTACTTATTTAAATCGAATTCAAATACTTAAAACTACTCTCTGTCTCTCTCTCTCCCTCTCCCTCTCTCTCTCTCTCTCTCTCTCTCTCTCTGTCTCTGTCTCTGATCACTAAATATCACAATTTTTTGTATTTATTACAAATAAATACATAAAAATGATATTAGGTTCTCTTTTAGAATTTTTTATTTAATCTTCCTTTTTAGGGGTCCGTATCCGCCCGAAGGGTAACTGACGGGACCTTATTATTAAGCCTCCGCTGTCCCTCTGTCCGTCCGTCCATCTGTCTGTCAGCGGGCTGTATCTCATGATCCGTAATAGGTAGACAGATGAAATTTTCACAGAATGTGTGTAATTTTGTTGCCGTTCGTTATAATAACAAATAATAAAAATAAATTAAAAATTAAAGCAGGCTCTCCTACTAGAAACGTGTATTAGGATGGTACGTAACTTGGCTGGTTATTTTTAAATAAAACTAATTTTACGGATTTTATCGCGTATATTAACTTATTTTTATATTCCCGACGTTTCGGGTGCTTTCCAGCACCCGTGGTCACGGGGGATTGAGGTGTTTGACGTCCTGCTGTCATAGTTAGCCCGGCTACCTTCAGTTTTTTTAATATTAATTTTTGGTTCGATTTACGCAGAATGAGCTTACAGTATCTTGAAGTCTAGCAGTGGTATACTTGGGTTTGGATTTGATTTTATTAATTATGGGATCCCAAGCAGATGGCAGCACCCATCCATCTTCTCTATTGAAATTAGGATGTTTTTTAATTTCAATAGCCTCGCGAATCTTCCTTGGGAGGAATCGGTGTTCTTTTGCGAGGATTTGTGGTCTATCAAATCTAATGTAATGGCGGGGACGATCTTGAATATGTTCACAAACTGCAGACTTCCCGATACGTCGGTGCTTCGCGTCAGCTATATGTTCTTTAACGCGGGTTTTAATAGATCTTAAGAAATCATTGGCCCTGGTTATTTTTAGGAAGTTTTATAATATTAAGGTATCTGATTTTTTATTATATATTTTTAAATAGTTTGTTAATAAATATTAGTGTTTACGCTAAGCAGCAAATTTTGCTATTTCAACATCTTTTAACTGCCTATTTACACACTCGTCAATATAGCAAAATGTTATGTCAGTTTCTTTATCTATCTCTATGCAAGTTCAGAATCAACTGTAATTATTAGGATCACGAATGAATTCACAAGCTGCTTTGCGGTAATATTTAGTCTTAAAAAACTTAAAATAAAGAGCAATAGAATCCGTAAAACTAGTTTTAATTAATACTTGTGCTGTATTATAATTGTAAATTATAGCAACAAACCAAGTAGAAACCTAATTAAGAATTAAATTTTCCTATCGATTTTAAATAACAGTATGTGACGTAGCAGAATAAATTAAGAATGAAAGGGGGCTAAAGATTGATCCCTGAGGAACACCCATTCAAACTACTAGGGCCGTAATCAGAACAACGTTTTACTAACATAGAAATATAAGGTGACGTAAGGGATAATGTAAGATTTCGACTGCTATAATCCTCAACCCTTTCCCTAACCCGAAAATCATATCATATGAACATGTCGATTGTTTAACTGTTATGTTTATTTCGAGGACAGGGAAACTCTTAATAATAAATGTATCGTGTTGTTCACGATCAAAAGCCTTGGAGAGATCAAAAGATCACAAAAAATATCAATAATGATTACAAAATAAGACGTGTATTATTGTTACCAGGAAGAGATTATACAGCTGACAGCTGATTTACTATGCGTTTTTTATTAGTCTCAAAGAGCGTGTGACTCGAGTCAAAACACCTGATTATTAAGTCATGGAACTTTCATTAGAGTTTTAGACGAATCCAAAAAATTCAATTTGTATTCTGATTTCGATGTTTTATGATTCCGTTTTGTATCTGTCACATAAGTGCTACACGGATATGGTTAGTACGTGTCTACATCTGCGCGTACACAATCAGCACTAGTATATCCTCCACTGCCGATATATTGCGGAAGTTGTCGAGAGGCCTAGGGGACATCATTATTAAAGTCAATCACTTTATTTACCAGGGTGAAGTGCTGGAGTGTCCGCTATGCCTGTCCACGTTTGTCGCAGCTGGCATGGTGCGACTTGCGTGGTGCGCTCATCGCTGCTGCGAGCCCTGCCTGCGACAATACCTCGCCATCGAGATATATGAGGCGAGGGTCCCAGTCAACTGTCCCGTGTGCCAGGAGAACATGCATCCCTTAGGTAAGTTAGTTACATTTAGTATGCTCTTTTAATTCGTAAAAAAGAAACAGATTAGCAAACAATCTGGACAATAATTTAAAATTTAAAATTTTGTACAGCCGACTTCAATATAAGTTATTAGAATAACTCAAAAACTATTAGTCTGACCTTGATCAAATTCATATGGGACCACATGAGAAGTACCAGCTTTCAAATAAAAAAAGAATCATCGAAATCGGTTCACTCAGTAAAAAGTTATGAGGCAACACACATTAAGTAGCCTAATGGCAGGGCACGGACCGCGAACTCGAAAGGTCGTGGGTTCGAATCCGCTATTCGACTACTGTCGTGAACCACTTCTAACACAAGCATTTTAAGCTTACCAGAAGTGGTTAAAGGGAATATTACTAATGTTTAATAGCATTACTAGTATTTTTATAGTAAAAAAAATTAAAAAAAAAACATACTGTCGAATTGAGTACCGTCTCCTTTTTGAAAGTCGGCAGAAAAAATCGTGGCAGCTTGTTGTTATCATGTCGTTATTTTCAGTTCATGAGCTCTTAAGTGCAAACCCCACAACTAATTTTTTTATTCTTATTATAAGCCAGTGCTTGGCTACAATCCCGCCTGTGGCAAGTGGTATGAATCTCTACATGGTAAATCGCCCAGAACGTATGAATTTTTTATACTACGGCGTATATTCTTTATACTATCCTAAATAGGATTTGTACTATCATAACCGTTATTGATACAGTTACAAATATTTATAATTGTTATGATAGAATATCGATGTAGTGTTTATTTATACGATTATGTAATGATTCCAAAATGGCATTATATGCTTTCACGTCACTGATTCGAATTAAATAATTAATTAATTATTAATTAACGCTCTTGAAAGAGTAACACACAAAATCGTAAACAAAACACCCGATATTATGTAACACGGTAGAACTCTGTAAAGGCAGGACCATATTGTACCAGAACTTATTAAAAACCATATTTACGAGTACAAACAATATTACTATAAATATTGGCATTAATTCACCGGAAGGAAGTTTGCGTAGAACATTATTTTTTTTTAAATTTAACTGTATGCCAATTAATTGCTCTTTAAATGCTCCCTTAGAATCCGTATTTGCCCAACGTCTATTGCTATTGGTTAATTTGTAATTAATTTTTAAAACATTAAATTTTGCTATAAAACATAAAATATCTCGTTTAAATTAAACTGTAAGCCAGTTAATTGCTCCTTAGATGCTCTCTTAGTATCTGTAATTGCTCCACGTCTAGTACTATTAGTTAATTTATAATTTTTTTTAAATGTAATTATCGATAATTTAATTTTGCTATAAAACATATAATATCTCTTTTTTAAATTAAACTGCATGGCAATTAATTGCTCCTTAAATGCTCACTTAGAATCCGTAATTGCTCCACGTCTATTGCTCACGTCTGCACCTGTAACATCAATCATTTGAGGATTCTAAAGCGTTTGAAAGGTTAATATGAAACAAAGATTTTATGGTTCTAAATTTAACTAATATCAGTCATCACCAGTCCATGCCTTCTTTGTTCCCTTAGATCTTGTTAACGTTTCTAGACCATATTATGTGTGTAGCACTAACATACACAACTCAAGAGTGGGTGCATTAACAATATTGTTTCGGTTTGAATAGTAAAAGAATAAAAAATATTAAAGGCTTATGAAGTATTTCATAAATATAATGTCAGGGATGACGCACCTGATGTAGCCTTGATCGAAGTTGACTGCAGCCGCAGACGTTCACTCTCTAGGTAATGAGCAATGACATTTACCATCAGTTGAACTTAAACTTTATTTGTCCCTCTGCCCTTACACAAATAACCTAGCTACACATGACTATATAAAGTTAGTTATGAAGATCCTCAAAGTATTTTAAAATTGAAAAATACAAATTCTTTTTTTTTTACTTTTCTATTTATTTCATAAGTAATAAAAAGCACTGCAAGCATCTGAAGATGTAATTTATATGCGACTGTCTAAATTTCTATCTTTTTTGTTCTTATTTTTTTAATTCTTAAGCTGAATTATATTGTCCGCCACCAAATATGTTGAACCTTATATACTCTATATCTGCTTACGCTGAAAGATAAGCCCGTCAATAATGTATGCTATGCAGACAGCCAGACAGCGTCATTGCATATATTAATATTCCGGACATGATTATTTGGATTTGCAAATATAAACCGGTATCCGTATACGGTTACATCAAGGATTTTGCGATATAGTATGTGAAGTAAAAATAAGCTATTACATAACAGTATTAATTATATTTAATTAGAATTACATAGACTTTTTGAACGCGGTAATTATTATATAGGTTTGTAAATACTGATATGAATTATAAACTAAATTGTTCAGTAGAATCGTTTTGAAATTGTCAGCAAATAGAGCCTAAAGCACTAATCGAACTGTAATATACCACTTGTGCAGAATTCCTTAGATTTACTACTTTGATTTAGTACTAGAATTCGTCGTATGATCGTCGATGGCAGCTCTCACCACGCGGAGTCAGTTGTCTGCCTAATCACTTTTTTTTTATAGGATAGGGTGACAAGCGGGCACACAGTCCACCTGATGGTAAGTGGTTACTGTGACCCATAGACATCTTTTTTTTTTTTGTTTTAAAAAAAAAAACGTTACCCCCACACTAGGATTTTCTCCTGTGTCGTGGAGGCATCTACTTCTACTACTACATCTATCCTCAATAAAGACTCAAGATGCAGATGCGTTGTCACCCGTGAGGACTAAGATGGAATGCCTCTTTGCCAGTAAAAAGGGTCTCCGGTTCTCTACACTCGCCATACGAAACAGCAGCGTTAAGCTGCTATTTTACGCTGGTATTCTGTGAGAGCGTGGTCCTTCCCCGGTCGAGGCGACCCATTCGTGCTACTATATTACTAATACTACCACGTAAAAAAACTTACAATCAGATGCTTGAAACAGATAGCTCTATCACCACTTACATTTTTGTGTCATCAATTAGATAATGTTATAATATTCAAACAATTATGGCACAATATTTTACAATTGAATCAATATTTCAACAAATTTTACACTGCTAAGAATCATCAGGCTCTCAATTTGGAATATAGATATTATTGTTCTAAATTGAGGTACTATATTGTGTCGTATCCATGCTTGCATGCGGATTGGCGATGTAACTTGGCAGGATATTCAATCACATTGCCTCACACTGGTCTATCTTCAGTTTTGTGCATAGGCTGTTTTTGTAATGAGAATTGAGGGAAGTCCTCAATTCTCTAAAAATTAAAATTTTCTCAGAAGTCAATTCCATTTTATTGCCAATGTTTTAACTTGGCGCGACTTTATAAAGTCAAGTTTATATTCAAGTCTAGTCGATTTCAAATCAATTCAGAAAAATCCGACAATTGTATCTAGTTATAATAAGATAGGATTTCTAATAATGCCCCGACTTAGTGTCCATCAAGATGTAGCCGTGACAATCGCTTGAGAGGCAGAGGCACCTGTTTCTAACGGCTAATTTCATTTCACGTTCGTGACAATACGTGACAATAAAACATATACGGACAAAGACTGAGCTCTCATAGACATCTGGTAACATGGTAAATATAAAGGTGAGCAGTGTGTGTATGAAATTAAATCGTTTTTCGTATGCGTTATATATGCTTGGAAAAGTTGTAGACACATCCGCCGTAATGGCATCATATCATGCTTATGTTATGTCTACACTTAGATATGGTATTATGTTCTGGGGTAATTGTAAGGACAAAGAAACAGTATTTAAAGCTCAAAAAAGATGCTTACGAGCCATTTGTAAAATTAACCAAAGTGAGAGCTGTAAGCCATACTTCATTAATTTAAAATTATTAACAATGCCATGTCTATATATATATATATTAGGTAGTCTTATTTATACGTCAAAACTTAAGTTTTTACGAAAAACTAAATGTCCAGCGTCATAAAGATAAATTGAGCCATCCCAATAGTAAGACTGTTTTGTTTCAAAAAAGCGTATTCTGTATGGGTCCTCGTCTGTATAACCATTTACCTAAATATATAAGAGATTCTAAGAGCCTTCACATTTTTAAGAAACAACTAAACACATTTTTAACCAAAAAAGCGTATTATAATATTGACGATTATTTATATGACAATTTTTAAATTTTATCTATCAAATTTATTGAACGAAACGTTATCTATGTTATTAATTTTGAAACAATAATTTATACTCGTTTTGACATTATTATTTTGACATTACAATTTTAATTATTACATGTATTTTATCATTATTTTGTGAATTATTATTATGCTAGTAGTGCAAATATACAAATAGGGTTATATTATGTTAATGTAATTATCGGAATTTTCCATTTAGTTTTAATTATAAATAAAATCTTATATTTAAGTAGTTTGCACACCGGAAGGTAGAATATGGCTGTATTTTGTTAAATTATTAAGACCTATTGTAACCCATATATCGCAAATGAATAAAATGAAAAAAAAAAAGGTCTATATTATATTCAATACTGTTGATGTTCGTTCTTGTTGTGAAAATATATTATTACAAATCCAGAATATGTTTAAAATATGATGGTCAAGAGAGAGATTTGTTATCAGCTCCGGTTGAACAAACCGACAAAGGTTAGATCTTACATCAGATTTTGTGTTAACGAATTAACAAAACTTCGTTAATTACAAAAAGGCACATGGTAGGCACATAATATCTGTTCAACTATTTTTGACAAATATATCGTGCATCACAACATTATGATGTATGACATAATTATTAGGTATAATAATTATTATGATATGTTTGTTGATGGCATCGGTATAGGGTAAAGCTGTATAGCTTATGTTTATACCGTAAAATAGCAATTTAAATATTGTCAAATTATTATTAAATAAGTAGAAAAAAAATACAAAACCATGGCAGGCGGGTATGAGAATTTATCCATTACTACTCTTCATCTGTTGCTCCTCGTTAGTAGTCTCC